TTACTGTCAAGTATTTCTTAAACAACAAAATTCAACAACACCACTTTTCACTAAACTTCTAACCTCACATCTGGATGAATAAGTTTAAAGTGTACCTAAAAATCCTACAGTGCGGATTGCGACGTTTTTTATACAGATTATTTCTTGTATACACTTGTATAGTAGAAAGTACAGACAGCTCTAAATGCGCCGAATAGATAACTACAGTTTAAAATGAGTGTTTAAAATTACCGGTACTTTAAAGTACCGTCGGGACACAAAGGGTTAATCCCTTGCGACCTGTAAATAACCTTTTAAAGTATTTGATAAATAAATAAATAATTACATAAATTTTATTATAAATTAATATTAACGATTTTTCGCTGCTTAACCTCTCCTAAATTTGACAATGTTTGACATATAATCTCCATTACTAACCTAACATACATTTATCGTCCATATCTTGATTCATACCATTTTTAAACGTCAAGTCACTGCCAGCTCTCGTGGTTTCTACTATAACTCGCAATATATGAATGCAGTAACCATAGTTATGAAACTACTATGCACTTGCACTGGCCCACATAAAATGCAACATAACTTTTAATAGTACAGGCATTGATTAGTTTTGCAAAGGAAAAGTTTTGCTTGGAAAAGATGTCGCGCCTTTATCTTACCTACATAAAGAAATAAGGCGCGACGTCCTGTCTGGAACATACCATCTATTCCGATTGGACGGAACCTCCGGCACCCCGCTGAGCTTATTTCTGTTTCTCTTTAATTTGTAATTCCATTAAATCGTTCTTCAAAAATTAGGGAGCTCTAATTTTGAAAAACTAATAACGGGATTCGACAACCGACATTATTCGATATATTTTGGTCAAATCCGCGAGGAAATCCGCCAGGTCGTTTTCGAAATAACCTACTAAACCGCGATTTTCCACGAAATTACATGGAATATCGAAAAAATAAAATATGCCCCACATTAAGAACACATCGGTTTACCACCAGTTCGAAATTTTAATTTTTTCGTACGATAGTTTTCGAGAAAAAAAATCGCAAAGTTGACAAAGATGCCGGTACTCTCAAAAATCGGGTACTTTTTTCATTTAACTCGTGATAAAAAGAAAATTGTGGATCCGAAAATTTTCAAATTAGCATATATTACGTAGAAATGTTCAGTGATTACAAAACTCTTTGTTGCAATTTTTTTTATCGAACGGTTGCGAAGACATAGATCTCTAAAGTGGGGGGCCTTGAATTTTTGCACGGATAGTAGTGACTAGTGAGAGTTCTAGGTGTAGTGTTAGTTCTAGTTTTAGTTCAATAAAAATATGAAACACAGTGATATTTTATGCTAGATAATCTAGTAATCAGGATTATTTCCAACTCTGGTATCAATCCTTTTCTATTCTCTCATTAGCTGCTTTAAAAATTGAGATTACTTCGAAGCTTATAAAATTGAAAAAAAAATCACAATACATATAAAACAAAAATCCTGATAACATTTAAAAACAATTTAAGTAAGTACACATTATACACATATTATACATTTTTAATAATTTTTTATACGAAACTCTCACAAAAACAATTAACTTGATGCACTAATAATATAATCCAAGATTATTAGTATGATAAATTTAATAGTTAATTAGACCGGATGAAAACGATTATTTATGCCGCCAATAATCTTATCGAAAAGCAATTTATTTTGTACTCAGTCAAATTGATAATAATTTTTAAAAACGTTGATTAAATCTACGAAAAAACATTAATTATCTTCACGAGTTTCATTTGTTCGAAGCTACCGGAATTAATTTTAAATTGCCATAGCGCATCATCGCGCAATTTTGTTAATATCCATAGCTAATTTCAATTACCACGTAATCAACCCACAAGGTCAATTTGCTAAATAAATTTATTTAAGACCCTTCTGGTTCATTTTTTCTTTCGATTTGCAACGGCGATGTTGATTACAATTTTGTGGGCTTATCTTTTGGTTGAAAATGCCGTTTCAATCGAACCAGACGAAGTTTGTAACGTTGTAAATAGCTGTTCGATTGTTGATAAAATTCGCGGGGAATTCAATGATATTCTTTACGAACAACGGCGAGAAATCGCCAGTTTGGAACGATTAGTTCGATCGTTAGATCAAATAAGTAAGTATTTAACCAGGAAATTTATGGAAAATAAATTTGGGTTTATTAAGCATGGAAAATAAGTTCTGAAGACAACAAATGGTTAGAATGTACCGAAGGACCTTGCAGATGTATGCCAGAAACTAAAAGCTTAAGCTGTTGGAATGATAACATGGAAACGTTACCTGCAAAACAAGTTTTACCGATTGATATTCACGCCATGTATTTAAAATTAATTTTTAAAGCTTAATTAACTTAATCGAATTAATTGTAGAGATCTTGGAATGAACAGATTGAAAACTCTAAATAAGCGAGTTTTCGAAAATTTAAGTCACTTAACGGAAATTGATTTATTTAATAATGATATAGATTATTTGCCAGCTTCGTTGTTTCAAAATTTGGGAAATTTAAGATATTTGTAATTTCATGAAACTACATCGACCCATTTTAATTAATTAATTTTGTTATAGGCGCATACATAAAAACCAACTTGAAGAGTTATCACAAAAGATGTTTACAAATCTGATTCGTTTGGAGAGTTTAGATTTATCAAATAATAATCTGTCCTTCCTTCCTGATACATTATTCAGAGACACGTTTAATTTAAACATACTTCATTTATCAGGGAATCGAATTAAAAATATCCCAGAAAGTTTATTCCACGATCTTAGTAAATTAGAAGATTTAGATTTGAATCAAAACGACATTGTTAAATTACCCAAAAATGCTTTTCGTGATTTATATTCCTTGCGGTTATTAAAATTATCGGAGAATGATATTACTGAATTGCCTACTGGTAATAATATGATTCATTCACATTTTTTATCAATTTATTAATTAACTACGATTAAATGCAGGTATTTTTAGTAGCTTACGTCAATTGCGATCACTCAATCTAAGAAAAAATAAACTGACAACGATATCTAATTCATTATTCGACAGCTTAAAACAATTAGAGATATTGGACTTAACATCCAATAGAATCCAATCGGTAAATAAAAAAAAAACGATATTAATAATAATAGGATTTGCAAGATTTACTTTTAGATTGATGTCTCAGACTTTGCCGGATTGGATAATTTAAAAGAATTATGGCTTGATCAGAATTACTTATCTGAAATTCCGGAAGATATCTTTAGAAACAATGTTAATCTACACACATTGATGTTGCAATCGAATAATTTAGTTGAATTGAAAGAGAAGGCTTTTTATGGATTGACCAATTTAAGTTCTTTGCTGATTAACAAAAATATTATTGAAAATATTCATCCTAATGTTTTTACATATGTTCCGAATTTGCAAAAATTGTAAATTTTATGATTTTTTGGTGCAAAGTAATTTTTTAATTTTTTTTAGGAATATCGATAGCAATCAATTTCAATTTTTACCACCGAAATCTTTGGATAGCTTGAAACGTTTAGTGTATATCATGTTAGCAAAAAATCCTTGGCATTGTGATTGTAATGTGTTGTATTTAACAAGGTAGAGAGTTTTTTAAACTATCTCTTAGATGTCTCTCATCATTGATGTTGTATTCAATTATTTTATACCACCCGTTTATATTGAACAAAGAAAGCATAATCTACAACCAGTAGCAACCTAACTATCACCATTTGCTAGGAATAGAATAAAAATCGCAGAAATCTCAGTTATGGATGATTCAATAATCTGCCATAACTCATTATCTATAATCGATAGAGTACCATGACATCTATGAAACTTACTTGTATTTGCCTAAGTAATCATAATCTATAAGCAGCTCAGCATGGCTATCACCATTTTCTAGGATAAAGTGCAAAAATCGTCAAAATCTTAATAATTGATGGTTTAATTTAAAAATGTACTACGATTTAAAAATTAGAATAGATAGGGTATTATGACATATACAAGAATTGTTTATATTAAACCAAGAAAGCAAAGTCCATAACTAGTTGCAACCTAACTATCACCATTTGCTAGGAATAGAATAAAAACCGCAGAAATCTCAGTTATGGATGATTCAATAATCTGCCATAAATAACTCATTATCTATAATCGATAGAGTACCATGACATCTATGAAACTTACTTGTATTTGCCTAAGTAATCATAATTTATAAGCAGCTCAGCATGGCTATCACTATTTTCTAGGATAAAGTGCAAAAATCGTCAAAATCTCAATAATTGATGGTTTAATTTAAAAATCTACTACGATTTAAAAAATAGAATTGATAGGGTATTATGACATATACAAGAATTGTTTATATTAAACCAAGAAAGCAAAGTCCATAACTAGTTGCAACATAACTATCACCATTTGCTAGGAATAGAATAAAAATGGCAGAAATCTCAGTTATGGATGATTCAATAATCTGCCATAACTCATTATCTATAATCGATAGAGTACCGTGACATCTATGAAACTTACTTGTATTTGCCTAAGTAATCATAATCTATAAACAGCTCAGCATGGCTATCACCATTTTCTAGGATAAAGTGCAAAAATCGTCAAAATCTCAATAATTAATGGTTTAATTTAAAAATCTACGACGATTCAAAAATTAGAATAGATAGGGTATTATGACATATACAAGAATTGTTTATATTAAACCAAGAAAGCAAAGTCCATAACTAGTTGCAACCTAACTATCACCATTTGCTAGAAATAGAACGAAAATCGCAGAAATCTCAGTTATGGATAATTTATATTCAATAATCTGCCATCACTCATTATCTATGATCGATAGAGTATCATGATATCTACGAAAATTACTTGTTTTGAATTCAGTAATCATAATCTATAAGCAGATCCAGTATGAATATCACCATCTTCTAGGACAAAGAGCAAAAATGGCCAAAATCTCAATAATTGTTGGGTTGCACACAAAATCTACCACGACTCAAAAACTAGAATAGATAGGACACAATGACATAAACAAAAATTGTTTATTCTGAACCAAAAAAGGATAGTCCATAACCAGTTGCAACCTAACTATTACCAATTGCTAGGAATAAAACGAAAATCGCAAAAATCTCAGTTATGGATGATTTATATTCAATAATCTGCCATCACTCATTATCTATGATCGATAGAGTATCATGACATATACGAAAAGTACTTGTCTTGAATTCAGTAATCTTAATCTATAAGCAGTTCTAGCATGAATATCACCATCTTCTAGGATAAAGAGCAAAAATGGCCAAATCTCAATAATTAGTGGGTTGCACACAAAATTTACCACGACTCAAAAACTAGAATAGATAGGGCACCATGACAAACAAAAATTGTTTATTCTGAACCAAGAAAGGATAATCCATAACCAGTTGCAATCTGGCTATCACCATTTACTTGGAATAGTACGAAAATCACAAAAATCCCGATTATGGATGATTTATATTCAATAATCTATCATCACTCATTATCTATAATCGATAGAGTATCATGACATCTACGAAAATTCCTTGTATTGAACTGAGGAATCATAATCTATAAACAGTTCTAGCATGACTATCACCATCTTCGAAGATAAAGAGCGAAAGTCGCTATAATCTTCATAATTGATGGTTTAATTTTTAACTCCACCAAGGCCCAAAGACTGGAATAGATAGCGTTATCATGCAAAAAGAGTAAATACTAAAAATAAGATGATTATCGCTACGGGTGCCATAATGCACACGAGCCAAATAAGTGTGTCTAATCTGATAGTGTGAAATTGAAAAGATTCATTTCTTTTAAATGTTATTCTTTATATTGCAGTAGAAATAATTAATATTGATGTCACTACACTGGCATCTAGTTTATGATAAAATTATGTGACGTCTAATTTTATATCTAAATCGATAAGGAAATATAATTAATGAATCACTTACATTAAAGTGGGAGATAACATCTAAAAGATAGTTATAGGGAACATAATGGCATATTTTGCATATACAAACTTGTATTATATGTTTTAGATGGATTCAAGCTCATAATAGTAAGGTATGGGATACTCAACCTTCTTGTAGAGGACCTGGTAACTTGGGGGGGAGATATTTAAAAGATATGCACTTTGCAAATTTGTGCGATGGTCAATGGGCGAGTATGACCAATTTATATCCGAGGTTACCGATTAAAGATGTTGTATTAATTCCCGTGACAACAACTGAAGAATCAACGGATCAACAATAATTATTATTATGTGTTAATAAAATCTCATAAACTTTGTGAAACCAATAATTTTGATAATATATTAATTGCAAATAACATTGTATTGTATGAAACTGATAAATCCCGTTATCGAGTAAAACTTTGATAATTTTTATTGCTCTTGGATAGAATTAAACATAGGTGTTTAATTAACTTTCGTCTGTTTGTATTAATATTGTTGGGATTTAATTATTTTTTGTGCGCATGCTGAGACCTACTTAACGAAAAAAAATGTAATAATATAATCGATCAAGGCACAATCAGATTGCATACAACATAGAACGCAAATCGAGATAACATCCTTCTATCTATATCGATTAGATACCCTGTAAAGTGATCATTTTCTCAGTTTGCAACAGTTCGTGAACAATACAGTTTGTGTGAATTGGATAAGTGTGCAATGTATCAAGATGCGACTACTAACGATAGGTTTAATCGTTAGCTTGCTTATTCATTATTCTGAAGGTAAGTTAGTTATCAATATTTGATTAATTATAAAGTCTCAATTAATTTATTATTATTTTAATAGCGGCAAATTGTGTTTTGGACAATGGTCAATATACTGATCAAATTAGTATTTATGATCCGAAGATGGATGATAGGGCGGATGTATTTCTCGTAATACCAACAACAAATGTGCAAAGTGCTGAAATAAAACCAAATCAAGACCATTCTTACATTGATGTCGTGTATTCGGAGAATACATTGACGTTTAGACCATCAGCAGAATTCAGAAGTAATTGGGAAAAGGACACTGCATACACCTCGAATCCTCGAGTTAACTCAAAATTTATATTAACATGTGCAGACGGTGGCAGTTATGAGATTGTAAGTTATATTCAAATTTCGACAGCGAATATATCAATTAAATTATTATCTTTTAAAGGAATACATCCAAAGTATAAATGATCTCAACACATTTGACCCGGTGTTTGTTAAGGCCACATATGATTTTACAATTCCCATGCCGGTTGGTGGTAATGTCGATCTTACAAATTTCGGTGAAGCCATTTTCGTGACGGATTACGATGTTTCTAATGATGGAATGAGTTTTACAATTGAAGGAGACAATGCTGATTCACTCGTAGTGGAATACATTGGACGTATCGATTCATCAGATTCCAATTGCGAATCGACGTCTTCGATGGGTAAAACATACAAAGGAATGTTAAAAACAAAGTCTCCACTTAGGTTAACCGAGGACACAAGTTATACTATTACTGCAACAGTAAATAAAATATAGACAAGTTAATCTTAACGAACTTAAATGATTTAAACATTTTTTTTAATAGGATAAAGGCAAACCGAGTACCAAAAGTGGCACAGCTACACTTAATATTATAATCGATCAATCCGGAACTTTACCATCCAGCCCTTCCTTTGAAACAGGGTTCTATGAAGCTGATTACGATAAAAGTAATCCTGACATACACTCGATTACTTTAAAAAATGTAATTAAGGTGACGGAAGGTATCACGACAGACAACATACAATTGAGTGGGGGTAAGACATTAATTAGATTGCTAAAAAATGCAAATTGATTGAATAAACTCATCTAACCAGCAAATTTTGTCTTTTTAAGAACACGCAGGGAATTTCGAACACACTATTAAGGACAATGCTTTGGAAATTACTTTAAAAACAAACTTACCAGATGATGTAATCAATTTCCAGCCGTTTGTTGCTTTAAGTATCACCGCGTCAATTGATAGCGCTGAAGTTGTAGCTACCACATCCTTAATCGTAACTATGCCTGAAAAAGATAATCTTAGTTTCACAAAAGTGTACTACGAAACGCAATACTCTGAAATAGAAGGAAAACCTCAAATTGATAAAGTTGATATACAAGTGACAGATAATGCTGTAGTTGAAGTTATTGAAGGTACGTAATAATTAAGGAATTAATAAATCTTAAAGTACTAATAATTGCGATTTATAGATTACGCGGCATATTTCAAATATAATCCGGACGAGAAAACTATTGAACCAACGGGTCTATTACCTTCAGATGTTCAATCTAACAACGACTTTATCCATGTGACAATAAAAGCTACACTTGGAATAGCTGAAGCTGAAGCAGTTTTAATTGTGAAGATGCCTGATGAGGAAATTGTTAAATTTGGGGAAATATACTATGAAGCGACATATTCTGAAGAAAGTGGTAACCCGACAATATCAGAAGTAAAATTAGATATCAGTGATGAAGCAACAATTACACTTGGTGGAGGTAAATATATAATAATATTTTAATATATGACAATAAGTATAAAATTGATTTGCAGATTTAGCAGATTCTTTCACATATAATACTGCCGACAAGACTATTACAGTAACTAAACCTTTACCTTTGGAAACTCAACCTAATAATTTCATCCACGTCACAATAACAGCTACACTTGGAGAAAGTACAGCGGATGCGATCTTGATTGTAACTTGGCCTAGGGAAGAAATCGTTGAATTTGGACAAGTATACTATGAAGCAACATATTCTGAAGAAAGTGGTAACCCGACAATATCAGAAGTAAAATTAGATATCAGTGATGAAGCAACAATTACACTTGGTGGAGGTAAATATATAATAATATTTTAATATATGAGAGAATAAATATAAAAATGATTTGCAGATTTAGCAGATTCTTTCACATATAATCCTACCGACAAGACTATTACAGTCAACACACCTTTACCTTTGGAAGCTCAACCAAACAATTTCATCCACGTCACAATAACAGCTACACTTGGAGAAAGTACAGCGGATGCGGTCTTAATTGTAACTTGGCCTAGGGAAGAAATCGTTGAATTTGGACAAGTATACTATGAAGCAACGTATTCTGAAGAAAGTGGTAACCCCATAATGTCAGAAGTAAAATTAGATATCGCTGATGAAGCAATAATTACACTTGGTGGAGGTAAATATATAAAAATATTTTAATATATGACAGAATAAATATAAAAATGATTTGCAGATTTAGCAGCTTCCTTCACATATAATCCTACCGACAAGACTATCACAGTCAATAAACCTTTACCTTTGGAAACTCAACCTAATAATTTCATCCATGTCACAATAACAGCTACACTTGGAGGAAATGAAGCAGAAGCGGTTCTCATTGTAAGTTGGCCTAAGGAAGGAACAGTTAAGTTTGGACAAGTTTACTATGAAGCGACATATTCAGAAGATAGTGGTGAAGCTACAATTACACCAGTAACAATAGATGTCACCGATGGAGCAACAATTGAAATTGGTGAAAGTAAGTAAATAAACTATTCTTAGTTACTTTGGATAAACAGTTATTAACGTATTATATAAATGATACAGAAGTAATTGAATAATAACTTTCAGATTATGCAGAATATTTCAAATATAATTCTGATGACAAAACCATTGAAGCCACGAAACCACTACTTTCGGAAACTCAAACTGACAATAATTTCATCCATGTGACAATAACGGCTAAACATGAGGGTGCTATTGCAGAAGCGGTTCTAATTGTAAATATGCCAGGCAAAGAAAACCTTAGATTCAACGAGATATACTACGAAGCGACATATTCCGAAGAAAGTGGTCAACCTATGATTACACCAGTGACAGTAGAAGATTTACCAGAAGGGGTGGTAGTTGAAGTCATTGAAGGTAAATACATCAAATTAGTTGTTAAGAACAACATAAAATATATGGTTATTTGCAGAGTTTGCGGCTTACTTTGCATACAATGCTGCAGAAAAAACTATTGAAGCTATTCAAGCTCTAACGTCAGAACACCAAGCTAATAACTTCATCCATGTCAAAATACGGGCAACACTTGGTGCTGCTATAGCGGATGCTATTTTAATTGTAAATATGCCAGGCAAAGAAAACCTTAGATGGAAAGAGATATACTACGAAGCGACCTATTCCGAAGAAGATGGTGTACCTGCGATTACACCAGTAACAATAGAAGATTTACCAGCAGGCGTAACGGTTGAAGTCGTTGATGGTAAATATATCAAATTATTTCTTAAGAACAACATAAAATATATGATTATTTGCAGAGTTTGCAGCTTACTTTGCATACAATGCTGCAGAAAAAACTATTGAAGCTATTCAAGGTTTAACGTCAGATCACCAAGCTAATAACTTCATCCATGTCAAAATGCGAGCAACACTCGGTGCTGCTATAGCGGATGCTATTTTAATTGTAAATATGCCAGACAAAGAAAACCTTAGATTCAAAGAGATATACTACGAAGCAACCTATTCCGAAAAAGATGGTGTACCTGCGATTACGCCAGTGACAATAGAAGATTTACCAGCAGGGGTGGTAGTTGAAGTCATTGAAGGTAAATACGTCAAATTAGTTGTTAAGAACAACATAAAATATATGATTATTTGCAGAGTTTGCCGCTTACTTTACATACAATGCTGCTGAAAAAACTATTGAAGCTATTCAAGTTCTAACGGTAGATCACCAAGCTAATAACTTCGTTCATGTCAAAATACAAGCAACTCTTGGTGGTGCCTCTGCAGACGCTATTTTGATTGTAAATATGCCCGATAAAGTAAGCCTCAAATTTAATGAAATTTACTATGAAGCGACGTATTCTGAAACAGATGGAACACCGGCAATTACAGAAGTGTTAATAGGAGACTTAACTCCAGGGGCGATAGTAGAAGTCGTTGAAGGTAAATATATAACATATAATTTCATAATTGACATAAAATATATCACAATTGTTTACAGATTATGCCAACTACTTCACATATAATGCAGAAGAAAAAACAATTGAAGCTGTCAAAGTCCTAACGTCGGATGCCCAATCTAAAAACTTCATTCACGTCAAAATAAGAGCCACACTTGGAGCAGCTTTAGCGGAGGCTGTTTTGATTGTAAATATGCCTGCTGACGGAAACAATATCAATAACATATTTAATGAGATATACTATGAAGCGACATACTCCGAAGAAGACGGTAAACCCAAAATAACTCAAGTGAATATAAAAGCAATCGATGAAGCAACCGTTGAAGTCGTTGAAGGTAAATTTCATAGGTGAGGAGAAATAAAGATTTTTATAGCAATATTTTTCAGATTATCAAGATTTCTTTGAATATAATCCGGATACCAAAACTATTGAAGCAACCAACCTGTTAACTTCAGATATTCAATCTAATAAGTTTATCCATGTTACAATAAGAGCTACACTTGAAGAAAATACAGCTGATGCGGTTCTTATTGTTAATATGCCCAATGAAGGAAACCAAATAAATGGCATATTTGGAGAGATATATTATGAAGCATCATACTTTGAAGAAGATGGAAACCCTAAAATGACAGATGTGAAAATCGACGTAATTGATGGAGCTAACGTTGAAATCATAGGAGGTAAGAATATGCAATATTAGAAATTCTGTTTTAATTAAAATATTATTTTTTAGAATACAAAGAACACTTTGAATATGACGCGGACAAAAAATCTATCAAAATCGTCAAAGTTCTTGATATAAACAGTTTTGAAAAATGGTATATTGACGTGATAATTCGAGCTACCCTCGAAGAAGCTACCGCAGATGCAGTGTTAGTCGTATCTCCAACAGCTATAATTACTTTTGAAGGTGAATTAGTTTTCGAAGGGGAACCTAGCGTTGGTATTAGTGGAAAACTCACAGCCAAATCTTCAATAGATGAAGAAATCGTATTTAGATTTACAGGTATTAATCGATATATGTAAGTAATAAATGTGTTAAAACATTAAATTGTAGATAATGTACCTCAAGAATGGCTGCAGTACTTGTCTTTAACTGATGATGGAACTTTGAAAACTCTGGATTTACCAACTGGTTCTTACGACATTGAAGTATTAGCAAGTGGAACTACAAGCAAAGCTAGTCAAATTACTTTGGTAATATAATTATGATTTTAATTAGTTTATATATAGTGCTAAAGATATAAAGTCTCTTATATGTTGATATTATTGTTGTATGAATAGTTTGATTAAGTTCATTTCAATTTGAATTTCAGATAAAAATTAGAATTGGTTCTGCAGAAACATGCCCCGATGGTACCATTTGGAATCCTTACACATTCCTTGCAGTTAATATCAAGGAAAATGAAGAAGAATCCGTTGTTTTGCCTCTAAATGATGGAAGTGAATATCATTATGAAATTGTGGACATCCAACCCAATAAAGACAGATTCGAGTTGAATGGAAATGGTGATGTTGTGGCTAAATCATTAGATAGAGAATCTGATGAATTTGGATCTGGAAAAGCACAATACATCGCAAAAATTAATCTAATTTCTAACGCAGTACAAAGACGTTTCTCTCCGAAGAGTACCTTAAAAACATTGTTTGTCTTAAAAGATGAAACTACAGCTGGTGATGATAAATGTTACTCAATAAATAAAATTGGAAATGAACCAAATCAAATTGTTATTGGAATTAGCGTTGATGATGTGAATGATAACAAACCAATATTTGAAAAGACGAAAGTTGTTGTTGGTTACCCCGAATCGGATTTATTAAAAACTGTTTCACCTCCTTATGTAATTGTGGTAAAAGCAACCGATAAAGATATTGGGGATTACGCATCATTGAAATATTCAGTTACAAGCTCTAAAGTTGTGATTGACGAAAATACAGGGTATATTTATCCAACTGATGATATTTATGAAAATGACGAGGTCGTGAAAGTAACTGCAAAAGACGATAATGGAAAAGGATACGAATCAGAAGAACCCTTAACCCTTACAATAAAAATTTTAGAAAAAAATCATTTATGTATATTGAAATATCAAGATAAACATTTAGAAGATCTCGACGACATAATGGATAACCTCGCAAAATACGCTGATGTTAGATATCTTTCAGCTGCAGTTCTTCCTGGTTCCGACCCATATGGTAGAAGTTCAACTGATAGATCGTTAGTTATCACGGCATATGCCTTCGATATTGGCACAGAAAACCTTCTTACCGCAGAAGAATTAATAGAGTTATTAGAAGATGTTGATGGTTTATCCATGGAACCACTTCCAAATCCAGGAGAAGACTGCACCACAGAAAAACCTGAAGAATGCAACTGCGACGGCGACGAATGCTCCAATGGAGGATTAATAGCCGGCGTAGTAGTTCTTGCAATTTTATTAGCTTTATGCATCGGTGGATTTATCGCTTTTTATATATTAATATTCAGGTAATAAAAATTAATTTTAAATCGCCTCATTTTTTAATATGATTGATTTTAGAAAAACAAAATCATATAACCAAATGGAAGAAGAAGGACTCCCAAAACCTGCCGCTAAAGAAACTCCATTAGAAAACCCAAAATTTATAAAGAACCCAGCACCACTGCCACCAAGGTAATTACTAAATCAATAAAAAAAAATAAATTAACCTCATTTTATTTCAGCAATAAACTCGCAGCAGATATCGTTGAAAGGAGGCCGACGGGGTATCTTTATCCAGCGGATTTAGCTGAAGAAGAGCCACCAAGCACATCGAGTCCCTCTGAAGTTTTCAATAACGAAATGAAGGAGCGACGCAAATCTGTAGTGTTTAATAATAACATTGAAGAGATCAACATCGAAAGGGAAGCTGAAGATCAAGACGGAGAGAAAAAAAATCTTCCTAATGAAGCTGAAAATACTAAATTATAAATAGTTAGGTTAATATTAGTACTTATTACGTGTACATAAAGCAAATAAAATTATTTTATTAATTAACTCCTATTTAACTCGTTCAGTAGTGAATGTTCACTTGCTCGTGTCATTATTAGTACCTCGTCCCACAGTGAATGGTAGTTTTAAAATTATCATAACATTAGGCTCTAAAATCCTTCAAAACTGACGATTTCGTGTCAATATGTCAAATATAGCTTCTCGCCCGCAAGCGACCTTGGCGATTTGAAGCGCTTTTACCGTCAAGGTCGTTTATGAGCGAGGTGCTACAATCATCCGGCGATTTGAGGCGAAATCATTCTTTATATATCTTAGTAATTAAGTCTCATGTTAATCCTTAAATTGCCGAGATGGCTTCAAGTTGATATATCACATCCTGTGCCTCGCCCGCAAGCGACCTCGGCGATTTGAGACGAAATCGTTCATTCAAGATACATAGTCTTGTAAAAATTGAAAATATTAAAATTAGTATTTATTACGTATACATAAAGCAAATAAAATTATTTTATTAATTAACTCCTATTTAACTCGTTCAGTAGTGAATGTTCACTTGCTCGTGTCATTATTAATACCTCGTCCCACAGTGAATGGTAGTTTTAAAATTATCATAACATTAGGCTCTAAAATCCTTCAAAACTGACGATTTCGTGTCAATATGTCAAATATAGCTTCTCGCCCGCAAGCGACCTTGGCGATTTGAAGCGCTTTTACCGTCAAGGTCGTTTGTGAGCGAGGTGCTACAATCATCCGGCGATTTGAGGCGAAATCATTCTTTATATATCTTAGTAAAGATATTAAGTCTCATGTTAATCCTTAAATTGTCGAGATGGCTTCAAGTTGATATGTCACATCCTGTGCCTCGCCCGCAAGCGACCTCGGCGATTTGAGACGAAATCGTTCATTCAAGATACATAGTCTTGTAAGAATTGAAAATATTAAAATTAGTATTTATTACGTATACATAAAGACGCAAATAAAATTGTTTTATTAAATAACTCCTATTTAATTTGTATTATCTAAGCCGCAGAGATAACATAAAACGTTTAGTCACCAGATAAGATAACTGAAGATAACCGAAGTGGAGTCACTCGCAACAATTAACAATTTGTACGCGGTTTTGTCTTGTAAGGAATGACACTCCTCGATTCTCGCTTTGTTCGTTCAATTTAGCCCCATTTATCTAAACGTTCAGTAGTGAATGCTCACTTGCTCGTGTCATTGTTATGCCTCGGTATTACCGAGTTCGTTAATGCCTCGTCCCACAGTGAATGGTATTTTTAAAATTATCTTATTATTCGCGTCGACGACGGATTATTAAATCGAAATCATCAAAGTCATGGATATTAACAAATTGAAGCGATTTTTTTCGGCTCCATCGTCCGAAGAAACCGGCGAAGTCGGAAACGCTCAACCGGAAATTGGTTTTAAGTTAACATACTTTGAAAGGACCCAACAGTTGGTGGTTAAAGTTATTGGTGCGCGTAATCTTCCGAAAACGTACGGGACTTTAAAACCCGAAGGCTATTTAATTAAGGTAATTAAGTTCATCCTCAATATATCGTAATTTGAAAGAAGACGTAGCGAAGTGCGTTCTCGTTTATAGCAAACAAAGTAATTGTTCTATTTGTAGAAGCAACTATTAAGTAAGATGTCTGTTGTAGGTAACTATTTTTCCGGGGAAAGATAAGTTAGAAACGGAAATATCCCCACATTCTTGGCCAACATTCAATCAAGAACTTACATTTAATTTTCACCAAAACGCGCCGACAATCAAAGACCAATTTTTAGGGAAATTTATTACCTTAACAGTTTACGCAATTCTTGATAATCCAAAACAACAAAAAACGAATCGATTAAGTAGAAGCCAATCACTTAGAAAATCATTCAAGCTCCTTGTCGGTATAGGAGATGACGTGCAAGTTAGAAACACCGGAAGTTCGAAATATAGTTCTAATAGGTTCACTTTTAATAACAGAAGAACAATAGGAGCTGTTACTTACAGTTTAGACCATAAAAAGTTCACACAAAAAGGTTGTTCAACACATGCAACTCCAGATATTTGGAGAATATTACAAAGTATAACCAGCGGGGTGGACACGGAAAAAGTAAATAATTCATTTTAATCCAACTAATCATTTAATTTTAATTAATTATTAATTCTTATTACAGAGAGAAGCTCGTTGTAACCTCGAAGTTTCATTATCGTATTTTAACAGCGAAGATGGCAACAACGATCGCATGGAAATATCCCTATCGAAATTAAAATGCAGCATGCAAGCGATGGAAGAACACGAAAAGCTTGGAGGTAATCGATTCCAACACGTGCGTCAATTTATATTTATTTCAAATTCTTTTAGGCTCTTTGTATTTAAAAATAACGGCCTTTGAATATGGGGTACGCATCGCCAGTTGGAAAAGCGACCGATTCGACCCCACCATCAGCATGAAAATAGAACCAACAACCGCCACGTTACGCGCGATATTCCAGTATTACAACCTGTCCAATGTTAAGATCGTAATTCGTTTTATATGCAAGAACTTGCTCGCCAAAAAAATCGTACTGGGGAAAGTGGAATTGGGCCAAGAGAGTGAGATATTTAAAGAGGCGGTCAATACACCGAGTGTAGCAATTACCAAAACCCTGATATTGGCTCATTAAACGATACTTTATAAATTATTATTGATCTGTATTGATCAATATTTATATTATGCTTTCTTTATGTATGTATTGTTAATATTATATTGTTTGTATTTATAGCAAAGATTGTATTTATTATATTGTGTATCAATTTGTTGTTAATACTTCAAATCCATTGCCTCCTTAAGTATTGGTAAAGATACAAAGTCTCTTATAAGAAGACGTTTATCTTCAGCGGTCGAGGTCACTTGCGGGCGAGGCGCTACATTCCTCCAAAACTGACGATTTTGTGGTGATGTATCAAACTCACGAACCTCGGCGATTTGAGGCAAAATCTTTACTTATATATCTTGGTAAGGATATAAAGTTTCTTATAGGAACACATTTATTTTTAAATCGCCGAGGTTGTTTGCGAGCGAGGCACTACATTCCTCCAAAACTGACCATTTCGTGTTGATGCATCAAAAACGGCAACCTCGGCGATTTGAGGCAAAGTCGTTCCTTATATATCTTGGTAAGGAATAAAGTCTCCTATAGAGACACGTTTATCCTCAAATCGCCGAGGTCGCTTGCGGGCGAGGCGCTACGTTCTTCCAAAACTTATGATTTTGTGTTGATTCATCAAACCCAGCGCCTCGTCCGTAAGCGACCTCGGCGATTTGAGGCGAAATCGTTGCTTATATATCTTGGTAAGGATATAACGTCTTCTATAAGAAGGTCGCCGAGGTCGCTTGCGGGCGAGGTGCTACATTTCTCCAAAATTGACGATTTTGTGTTAATACATCAAATTCAGCGCTTTCCCCGCAAGCTAGCTCAACTATTTAAGGCATAATCGTTCCTTATATATATTGTAAAATTATAAAGTCTCCTATAGGAACATGTTTATCGTCAAATCGCCGAGGTCGCTTGCGGGCGAGGCGCTACACTCCTCAAAAACTGACGATTTTGTGTTGATGCATCAAAGCCAGCGTCTCGCCCGCAAGCTACCTCAACGATTTGACGCAAAATCGTTCCTTATATATCTTGTAAAATTATAAAGTCTCCTATAGGAACATGTTTATCGTCAAATCGCCGAGGTCGCTTGCGGGCGAGGCGCTACACTCCTCAAAAACTGACGATTTTGTGTTGATGCATCAAAGCCAGCGTCTCGCCCGCAAGCTACCTCAACGATTTGACGCAAAATCGTTCCTTATATATCTTGTAAAATTATAAAGTCTCCTATAGGAACATGTTTATCGTCAAATCGCCGAGGTCGCTTGCGGGCGAGGCGCTACACTCCTCAAAAACTGACGATTTTGTGTTGATGCATCAAAGCCAGCGTCTCGCCCGCAAGCTACCTCAACGATTTGACGCAAAATCGTTCCTTATATATCTTGTAAAATTATAAAGTCTCCTATAGGAACATGTTTATCGTCAAATCGCCGAGGTCGCTTGCGGGCGAGGCGCTACACTCCTCAAAAACTGACGATTTTGTGTTGATGCATCAAAGCCAGCGTCTCGCCCGCAAGCTACCTCAACGATTTGACGCAAAATCGTTCCTTATATATCTTGTAAAATTATAAAGTCTCCTATAGGAACATGTTTATCGTCAAATCGCCGAGGTCGCTTGCGGGCGAGGCGCTACACTCCTCAAAAACTGACGATTTTGTGTTGATGCATCAAAGCCAGCGTCTCGCCCGCAAGCTACCTCAACGATTTGACGCAAAATCGTTCCTTATATATCTTGTAAAATTATAAAGTCTCCTATAGGAACATGTTTATCGTCAAATCGCCGAGGTCGCTTGCGGGCGAGGCGCTACACTCCTCAAAAACTGACGATTTTGTGTTGATGCATCAAAGCCAGCGTCTCGCTCGCAAGCAACCTCGGCGATTTGAAGTAAAATCGTTCCTTATACATCTTGGTAAGGATATAAAGTCTCCTATAGCAACACGTTTATTGTCAAATCGCCGAGGTCGCTAGCGGGTGAGGCTCTACTTTTGATGAATCATCACAAAATCGGTTACTTTAGAAGATTCTACCGCCTCGTCCGCAAGCGACCTCGGCGATTTGAGGCAAAATCGTTCCTTATATATCTTGGTAAGTCTTCTATAAGAACACGTTTATCCTCAAATCGCTGATGTTGCTTCCGGGCGAGGCGCTACATTCATCCAAAACTGAGAATTTTGTGTGATACATCAAATCCGCAAGCGACATCGGCGATTTGAGGCAAAATCGTTCCTAATATATCTTGATACAGATACAAAATCTCCTATGAGAAGACATTTGTCCTCCAACCGCCAAGGTCGATTGCGGGCGAGGCGCTAGAATCCTCCAAAATTGACATAGAGTAAAACGCCAGTAATTGACCGTTTTTGTAAAAAAATGTAAAAAATAAAGATCCAAGGAATATCAAAAAAAAATTGATTCATTTATAGGACATAAACAGGTCAAACACTGAGTTTTTTAAACGATTTTAAATTTTATAAATATATAAGCGTAATATAAATACAAGTGTAAATGTTTGGTTCTTTTCTAGCCTTTTTTATAACAATAAAAGTAATTGAACACACTTAGCAGTAATCAATCTGTAAAATTAACAGGATAAAAGGTTGGTCAAACACTGACTCAATTATTATCAAAAAATGAAAAATCTATATGGAAAATTTAGCAAATATGAATCAGGTTAACTTCTTTTCAGTACCAATATGACAACGATGACTAAGTTTAAATGTAGTGAAGAAGATCTCGATGCAAGAAGTAGGGGTTTATCTTATGAAAAAGCAGAAAAAGATGTTTAATGTACCAAAGTCAATGCAGAGGAAAATGGGCCCAGCATTTTTAAATTTTGATGAAGAAAAACTACTGGTTGAATGGTTATTTCATTCAGCATTCCTTGGAAAACACAAAATTTGGGTGAAAAGTTAAGTCAAGAACATTTTGCTCCATTTAAAGAGTCAAAAAATATAAACATTTTTTTGTGAACAAAATAGTATGGAAAAATAATGAAAATGAATATTATATTAAGAATCGGTCAAACATTTACGGTTTTAAGGTCAAAGACTAGATATTATTGGTCAAATAATGTAATCAAAGCGGTCAAACACTAAATGCGAAATACAGTTCTCCTTTTTAATTTTTAAAAAATATTACTTTATGATGTTATATTTTATATGTAGGGTAAGTAACTTTAAATGAATCAGATGTGTATTTGATCATATTTTGATCATTTTATGTAAAGGCAGAGGGATCTACTGACATTAAAAATCCTTAACAGGTCTAACAGTGGTGCGTTTACCCTATAATAATTTATAACATACAATTGAAAGAATCAGTATATCTTTAATCCAAAATAATCTAACGTGAAAGTTAAATATTGTTTCCATAAACCATCACACATATACTACATTTGATTACCCAGAACATTCACATTTGCCTCAACCTTTTTAAGAAATACATAGAAACGTGATATTATTAATGAATCAGCGACACAGGCCAAAAAGCACTTAATAAAAATAAAATTAATTCTGTAATAAGTCACTCTCACGTCATTGTCTACAATAGATCAAGTACAACGCAAAAACATTCAAAAAACAAGTTTCAAATTCTCAGAATTAAAACAAGCGATCAAAGTTTAATTTTTAGACAAGTTTGTTTAACTAGAATATAAACACGCGTATCTGCAGTTAATTAATCACTTGAATATTTATTTACTCATACAATTAATTATTATGAATCATTAAATGTGTTAATCATCTTGTTTTAAATACAATAAAAAATTTAAAACATATTATTTAAATTTGAATTAAAATTTGTATGTATGAAATATTTGCTGATACTACATACATATAGAAAGTGGTTTTACAGATCATATTTCAAAAAAGCTCGTAATCACATATCGAAACTCATTTCGTTCGATGCGTGTCTCAGTCAGAGTACAGACGGGGACCACTATCATTTGCTTGGCCACAATGAAAAACCAGTCTACGGTTCACGCTCGAGCCGAGCGCGCACAGAGGCAGTTTTAGTTAAAAGTGAGAGTGAACCGGAGAAGGAGTTGAATCCGTGCGCCCCGACGAGAACTCGTTGTCTATTTAAACGCAAAAAAATCCTCGTATTCGCGTCCCTTTTAATGAATGAAACTTTATTTCCATCGCGAAAACTGACACCTTTTCATCAATGAAAATCGTTTAAAATTCGATTATCAACTATGAACGGTCGCAATTTGTTATTGTTCGCCTTTTACTTTATGCTACACGGTTGCAAGTGCCACAAGGTAAGTGACCCGCGGCGGTTGCTCCTCATCAAATTTTCAACAGAAATTCAAACGAAAACCTTTGTAATATCGATCCGGGATAAAACTAAAACAATAAATTAAAGAATCAACAAGATAACACAATTGTAATTGAAAATCTAACATTATCAAACAATTCAAAGCATGTATTGTCTATACGTCCTTAAAAGATCATCTCCAAACTTGCGGTTTTATCTATAATTACATTATAATTTTTAATCGTTTTATAAATGATGCCTTCTTGACGATCCGTCGTGCTATTTTAACTTACATTACTTGCCGTGTTAGGAAAATTGCGGTAATTTTACCATTATACTAGTTATAGTGAAGTAATAAGAATGAATAATTCATAAAATTATTTACTACTAGGTGAGAATGATGATTATTTAAATATCAAATAATTATAAAATCATATAGTAATACATTAGCTTTATCTATAATATGCTTCACAATGAGTTAGACTTAAACAGTTGACTTAACTATGTGAATTCAATTGCCTGATTCAATAATTCATTGGATAAAATACTTAGAACTAGATGGGTGAAGATGTGGACAAATTAATTAAATAAACACTTCAACTTTTATATCTTTAGCTATCACTGTGATTTATCATGTACTAAAAGAAACATAAAATCATTTTCTAACTAAGGTTCTCTAAGATGTGGCATAAATTTTCAAATGTTTTGAGAGAGTTGCGCCATGAAGCACTTTATTTAAGTTTCTTAGACGTCTTGGTGAAGGTACAAAAGTTTCCTATAAAAACACGTTTATCCTAGATTCCTCTAAAATTTGAGATTTCCTATGATACATCAAATTTAACATCAACGATCTTAAAGATTAATATAGAAACGGAAAAGATTGACTTAATAAAAGTTTTAAAAAAAAGATGAAAAGTTAAGGCATTGAGTTGTAATTTTTTTTTTGCAAAACTTGACAATTTTGTATGGGGTTCAACGGCTTTTATGTTTAGATAAACTACCTAAGTCTGAAATACTAAGTCTGTTGGCAACCAACCCAACCCAACCCAGATAATTTCTTAGAAACTTGTAATAACTGCAGCAATCATAAAGGAGAGTTTCGTAGGAAATGAAACAGCTAAGAGAAGACAGATTTTACTGTTGGAACTGGTCTGTGGCAATTTGTTTGAGCGATTGTTGGAAATAATAGGAGGTTTGTCTTGGGAGACTTATTTGGTGGTTAAGTTTGAAGATATCTTTCAGTTTGTCATGGGGTCATGCAAGATTTATTCTTCTCTTGAATTTCCATGTCTGATTTTCTTTCGCACATTCTTTATTTCATCTCCAAGTTTCACCACATTATCTTCAATTCAAATTCATTCAAACAAATTTGCTCGCACATACTTGGTGACGATCATGCAGCATTATATAGATGGATATAATGCTGCATGATCGTCTCCTTAAACTTCTCGGAGAATAAAATAGTAGCAATTTTAGTAAATGTATCCATGTTACAAGTTTTCAATCAATGTAAAAGATAATTGATATAAAAACTTCTTACTTGCTTATATCCAACATCTTGAAACATGGAAAAGAAAATGGACACAGCATCGATTATGAAAACACAGTTCTGTTACATAAATGTGAAAAGGTTCATTGCCCGAAACCAGTACCATATAAATTTAAAGTTAAATATTAGAATAGTAGCGTCTGCGAACTTAAATTTGTTAGCCTCTTCCCAATCAAGTATTTTACATACATATCCCAGTATTGTGGTAAACAGTTTAGTCAATAACGCATCACCTTGTCGTATTCCTTTGCTGTTTTGGACAAGATCCATGTTTCCATATAATTTTTTCTTCTTTTAAATCCTTGTCTAAAATAAGCTGTGGAATGCAACAGCAATGTGATTAATATGTTGGGATGTTTCTAAATCATAAGCTTTAATACAAAACAAGCATTTTCTTTGTAAGGAAATTGATAAAGGTAACAAAATATTGATCTATGATTTCATAGATTGATAAGATAATCTCTATTTTATGATTTTGCGAAAAATATTTTTGTCGATATTGTTCATTATTAAATTTGTTATCAATAATTTTATCTTTTAAATTTTTTTGCAATATTGATATTTCGTTTCTGAACAAAGATAAAAATGTAAAGTGTTAAAATTAATAATAAATTGTTGTATTGTCCATAATCAAGAAATTGTCAGCAAAGAAATTAAAAAATTAGTTAAATGTCAGCATAAAAATGTTGTAATAAAACGAAAAGTTTCGAAACAGCAAACAAGTTTTTTCGCAATTTCTAAAGTATTTGTTTAATTTTATTGCAACTTCGTAAATATTCGGTTTTGAATGATTCAATTCATAAATTTTCGGTAAATATTGAATCAAAATGAGTAACACTATCTTTATCATTATCGAGTTATTCCAATATTGTATTAATAAAATCTACATCTTAAATAATTTCAATTCGAAAACTTAAAGCTGCGTTTCTATTTCTGTTTAACTACGCTAAAAAAGAGTCCCCATATATAAAATCTAACAGGAGTTAAAATGGGCGGGTGAGTTATGGATAGTTATTTAAAGAACAGGTAACGTTAGACTAAAGAAAGGATACGTGGTTTTAGATGTTGAGCAGGTAGAACAGGTTGTCAAAAGGGGACAAGTTCATTTTCTTTTTATTTGAAAACCTACACCTTCCTTATTTCCAAGAAGAAACAAAGAACGTGTCAATCAGCCTTTTTTATTTTATTTTACAATTTATTGCGAATTTGTGTCAGTAACTACATATTAGAAATCTGATATCCATTATATGTCAGCACATGCCTCTAAAAACGTGACATACTTCGTTTCGGGCTCCAAACTGGATGGGATTCGATAAGTTAAGTGCCAGATATAAACTGCAGATTGTGTGTATGTATGGACTCTATTAAGTAGGCCCTCATTAATACTCTCTGCCACCATTTACATTTAATAGGAAGAAGCATATGGTTTAGTCGATGGGTTCACTGCCGGTTTGACACAGTTTTTGAATTGCACAACGTTATTGTTTCATCTTTCCATTAACGTCCATAAAAAGGCAAATAGAAATTTCAAAATTTTTAAGACCTTGTTTTCTTTAATTATACCATAAATTTAACATTTATGGTGTTTGCGAGATCGTAATATTAATTTATTACCACGCAAATACACATATTAAGGCCAATACATATATTATAATGATTCAACACATATAAACCATACAATCTCTAGTTTTTATCACCCACAACATAGATTACTAATATTAAAGAAACAATTCGATAAAAAAAAACAACGTTTAATTTCTTAATTGATTAGATAGTATTCATTGAAAAATTAGAATCGAATAGCGAAATATATACGATTAAATTTATTATCCGTATTTGTTTTAAAATGTTGAAAATTCCTTTAAAGCTATCACCCAGACTATGTAAACTTTTTCTATAAATACAAATTTTTTATCTATACAAACATACGCTTGACCGAATCAAGGTCCTAACTAGATAAATTTAGATGTAAATCTATGCTCAATTAGACTAGGAGAACATGGGAAAACGTTCATATCAATGGGATTCTAAGCCGATCAATAAGGCTCATAAAGTTCGTAATACAACCGAAACAGAAAACAATCACCGCCCAACATCCGGTCTCGATTTTAGGCCAACCATATCGAAATTAAACCAACTTAACCTCTATGTTACTCTATGTAGAACGAATTATTTCTTTTTTTTTGCAGATTAATAATAAAATGCAAATTGTTCGTGATAAAGATATTGGAATTTTTTCAAAATCAAATGTCTCAAATATATTTCGAGATGTAATCGACCCCGATCGAAATACAAGTATTTATTGGAATTGGTCCCCGTGGACGAGATGCGAAAATTGTATGCAATCGAGGTTCAAAAAATGCAAAAATAAATCTTGCGATGGTAAAAAAATTTTCGAAGAAAAGTTTTGTAAGAAGAAACGATGCACGAGAAAAAAACACATGTTAAAATCCTACTACGATATGCACATAATCGAGGAAGTTCGGGTAAATAAACGTTGCGTTTTTAAAATCTCTTTCTTTTAATCTTTTTTTAGAATTCAACTGATTTAATTTTAGGAAAGCAGATTATCCACGCGCACCATGGTTTCAAAGATATGGACCAAATGGTCCGATTGGAGCCCGTGCTCGAAAAAATGTAGAACGAAACGATACAGGACGTGCAAAAAACCTGGAAGGTGTAAAAAAAGGAGACAATATCAATCGGCTTTTTGTTATACTGTAAAAACGATTTGTGAAAAATATGTATTTCATCTTATTGGTAAACACAAAAATGGTAAATTCTTTATTTTTACTTTCAATATTAACGTTAAGTACACCTTAAGATCATCTGATCATCGTTCTGATCCATCATCCATTTATGGCTTCATATTTAACAACTCTCAAGATCATCTCTTATCTCCCTTAACATTATCTCTAACATTTTTTGACATCATCCTTCATGGTTTCACTCAGTATTGTATCTGGCAGCTCTCAGATCATCTGTTTTCTCCCTTAACATTATCCCAAACATTCCTCGACATTGCCCTTCATGGCTTCATTCAGTATTTTATCTGACAACTCTCAAGATCATCTCTTTTCACCTTTAATATTATCCCAAACATTTCTTGACATCGTCCTTCATGGTTTCATTCAATATTGTATCTGACAAAACTCAAGATCATCTCTTTTCACCCTTAATATTATCCCAAATATTTCTTAACATCATAAGCTGTCAATATGAAATCCAGCCATAATCAAAATCGTTTTGGCATCATCTAAAATTTGTATGAAAAATTAATCGAGAATAATTTTTAGATCCTACTAATAAATATGTATACGATTTACCTAAACAAACAATAAATTACTATAATAAAAAGAAAAAATGTGGAAGACCTTTCAAAACAACAAAGATGTTAAAAATCATTGGAGGAACTGAATCGGAAAAGAATAAATGGCCGTGGCATGTAGCTTTACAAAACGCTTTTAACGTAATTTAAACAATTTCATTTGATTAATAAATTAATATTATTTTTATGTAGGAAACATTTTGCGGTGGGACTTTAATAGCACCAAGATGGGTGTTGACGGCTGGTCATTGTTTAAGAAAATATCTAAGAGTAAGATTTAACGAACACGATCTAACTACTATTGATGGTAGAGAAAGGGACCTTACTGTGAATAGAATGTTTTTGCACCCGGAATTTAATCACGTCACCGTTGATAATGATATAGCTTTACTTCGTTTACCAGAACCAGTTGTGCAACCTGTTGCTTGTCTGCCTTCTTCAAACCCTATTCCAAAAGATTTATGTTACGTTATGGGTTGGGGAAAAGAAAAATCATACGATATTTTGGGTACAAATACCTTAAAAGAAGCACAAGTAAGGAAATCAAAACATATTTTATCGATGTTATTGATTATTCTTTTCAGTTACCAGTTGTGAATGAAGGAACTTGTAAAAGATCATATAGAAACTATATCATCACGGATAACATGTTTTGTGCCGGTTGGAAATCTGGGACGGCAGATACTTGCGCGGGTGACAGTGGTGGTGGTTTAATGTGCAGCTTAAAAAGAAAATCTACAGAAAAGGTGTACGTAGTTCAAGGAATAACAAGTTTCGGAGATGGTTGCGGAAGAAGAAATAAATACGGGATCTATACGAAGGTGAACAATTACTTGCAATGGATCCAGAAAACTATGGACATGTACTCGTAATCATTTATATTTAGAAAATGAAATTTCGTTCGGTTGAAATTCATAAAACGGGTTTTTTTAACAACAATTTTATAACGTTACGTAAATAATAATAATAATAGTACAAAGGTTGTTTTTGTACCAACAGCGCCATTAACCAGAAACATGTTCACGTACTAATTAAGATCTATTATTAAGTATTTCATTTAGGTCATTCACTCGGCTCGACACGAATTGTAAATAGTATAACCGATTGAAGAAACATAACATTGTGATTTCTAATCTTTAATATTTTTATTATAACGATTGACTACGTAAATGTTTAGTTTTAATGTTAAATCAACATTAAATGTTAAGAATTACACACTTGTTGTTTTCTTTTTATTTTATTTGCTGTCTGCATTCTTTGATAAATCAGTGTATCTCTTTCAAAACATTTTTTTATTAAAGTTATTCATATGCATAAATTTGTAGACATAAATAATTAGCAACGCATTTAATGGATTTTAGACTCCAAAAATTCTTTATTTGCAATATAAATATATATATCTTTTGGATGTAGCCGTTTTGAGAGACGTGCGGCTAAACCCGAATGTTTCTACTTCTTGGTCTAGTGTTAGTTGTAGTGTAACAATATTTTTATTGAAATAAAACTAACACTAGACCTAGAACTAGATAGTTGCTAACTTCGGGTTTAACGTTTTTTTATTCAAACTTTTTTGAGATAAGTGCGTCATGTTTGGACTCATTTTAAAGGTTTTTTAATAAAGAATACATCATAAAAGAACACCATGAAGTTATCCATTTGTCTATAATATGATAACTGACTTCAAGTTTAAAATGTCAACCTCAATTTGTACATATTTGTAATCTTCATTAAAAATCCTTTAAAATGAGTACAAACACGACATATTTATCTTCAATATTAATGAAGTTATGGTCAACTTCCGGTTAGAAAAGTCAACGTTAATTTTGACATATTTGTAATCGTGAAAAATCCTTTAAAATGAGCCCAAACATGATACGTTTAATTCCAATATTACTCGAGATATAAGCATTAGGCTATGTTTTTTTAGCCTGTCAGAAAGGGAATTTAATTCTCTACAAATTATCAATAAACATTCCTCTAAGACGCCCGGCTAAACCTAAAACTAGAAAGTTTTAGGTCTAGTGTTAGTTCTAGTTTTAATTGTGATTTAATCCACTTACCTTGCTTATAATTTTATCCATTTACCCATTTTGAGTTAAATACAACTTTTAAATCCAATTAATTATGCCTTTTTCATTAAAAAAACTTAAATTCAACGTCAATTTTGACAAGCATCTGCAATATTTGGATCTTAATCACCATGGTAACCGAGTCAAGTTGGATAACCTTAAAATAATAAAATTTTATTTCGATTTTTTTATCAATTCTAACCTAAGTTTTATTAATTTTAAAACAATTCGAATTCTTTACGATTATCTCGCCTTTTTTTTTTAATAATTTATATTTTTGTGTATTGCTTCTTAAGTAAAATACACTATAAATAAAAACATAGAAATGTCAATTTTTCCAATGACGTCACAGCAAATCATTGTATATTTTGAACACTTCAAACTTGTTTCTGTAGAAGTTTATAATGATGTTATGTTGTAGCTTATGCTTCGGTGATATAAAATCAGCTTTATAATAATAATAATAACAGTTTATTTTGAAAATAATATAAATTAGAAGAATCCTGTATTTAAAACAATTTGTTTCGACATTTCATCAAATGATGGCAGCACCGTGAAACGTCACTTTAGGTTTGTTAAACGTCAAGTTTCGCAAAATTTAAATCGGCTGTGTAATTAAACTCTACCCGTTTTATCGCGAAAATGGTGCACAATGCTGTTGCCGAAGACAGCCTCTTGGAATACATACAAAAATTAGCGAAGCCGGATACGTGTACTGTCGGTTTAGTTTTAGGACAGGTACGTAACCTCAATTTTATAATGGATGTAACATATGTCAAAAATTAAATAATTAAAAGTAAAAAATAATGATTAATGCAAATATTTTCGATATTGATTCATGTTACTCCATAAAATATCTTTGGTTGTAGCCTTCAAGCACCAAAGATTACATAATTCATTTTGCAAAAACACCCCCATGCGAAGAAGATAGCAAATCAAACATAAAACTAAAAGAAATTAAGTCGATTAATGACGTTTTCGACGTATGGGTTGCGGATCATGCGAAACACGCCACGCGAATGCTGCCGGGTGGAATGTACGTTCTCGGTATTTTCGTCGTATCAAACGAAGATTTGTTAACCCCCTTTTCCAACAAGTTAAAATCTATACTACAAGAAGTTCACCGACAACTTAGCGCCAACAGTTATATGCACGGTACTTCGACGAAAAGCGAAAAGCTCGTTTTGAATTATTGCACGAAAACGCAATCTTACAGTTGTAAGAGTTACGATGTCGTTAATTCGAGTGTTAAACCGGCCGAGATTAAGTTCTTGTCAAAACCGATTGGATGGAGGCAGTTTCAATGCAAATACGAACTCGATCGGATTTATTCGATTCCGATTGATAAAAGCGATTTGACTTTAAGAAGACATATGAATGTAAGAAGATTATTTATGTTGTGGTTATTATTAAAGTTGTTTATTTTCTTTGTTTAGGATATTATTGAAAAGACTTCAGATTGTTTAAAACCGGCGATTTTTGCTTTTGACGGAGAAATTCGAAAAAATGACGCTGCTTTAGAGAGTATGGATAAAAAAATTGGTAAATCAAGTGGAGGTAATGATCATGCTGGACCTACAATGGTTTCTATTTATTTACCATGCGTAAGTAATTTGAAATCTTTGAATATTACGCTGCTCTATGTGCGTTTAGTGATTATTATTATTGCTGCTGGGGTGAGGGGAGCGCCCCATTTCGTCACCGCGACCTATAAGATCTATTGTAACTGTAGCCCTCCAAAAGTTTAGGGCAAATGTAGGTTCTTAATGAAGCTATAAGGTCTTGTTCCTTTATGTTGGTAGGTGTCAAAAGAGCTTTACCGAAAATTTTGAGTCTTAGGCGGCCTCTGGTAACTCAATTACACAGTATATGTTCAGCAGTTTCTGATTCGTCGTTGCAACGTCGACAAGTTTGATCCTCAGCTTTAGGAACGCATGGCCTGAAAGCGTCCTTAGATATATATCCTTAATTATCATGCTCTTCGCTTGTCTGGAAGTTTTTGCCAGCATAAGGCTACCTTTGAGCCCTTCCAACTGTTGATTACTTGTTTCAGGTGGCTTTCTTGTAGTCCACAGTCGGGTTGGGGTCCAATTAAAGGCGTTTTCGCTGCCTCTTTGGCCAGCTTGTCCGCCTTCTCATTGCCCTCAATGTCTCTGTGACCTGGAACCCACCATAGAGTAACATCATTGCGTCTAGCGAGTTCTCTCAGGTTGCTGGTACACTCTCTGATCAATGCGGGAGTCACACATGTGTATGGATGCACCTTTCTGTCCCTCTTGTAGATTCAAAACGGTGCAGAAGTTTGTAGCAAGTACATCTGCTTGAAAAATGGTTATGTCCGAGCTGAGGAGCAATTTAATGCCGCTATTTGGTCCACTAATGCCAATGCCTATGCCTACTCCAGATCCAACTGTCTTTGAAGCATCTGTGTATCAGGCAAGAGTTCCTCTTTTCGTCCAAATATCTTGTAAATATGACCTTATACGGCTGGTCGAAATTGGGTCCTTGAGGATTTCTAGGTGTCCTCTGAGGTTACCCTGCATCAGCTTGAGCTCTCAATTATAGCTTCCTTCTCCCAGTGAATTTCGATTTTGTTTGGATTCATCCTGAACCCATTGTTTCTGCACCAAGTGCTGTTAAGTACTACGACTTTCTGCATTCATTGAGTTATGATTGTTATTTTACCTCGGATTGTGATTACCAGGTTATCAGCATACTCCTGAATCATGAATCCATTTTTTTTGTTCATCAAGTTATCAACTACCAGGCAACATAGGAGAGGTGAGAGCACTCCCCCTTGGGGACATCTTCTTAGCACCTTAACCCTACAGAGAATACGTGATTTTAATGTTACAGCAAAACACATAAGTCATTGGGCTATCAGCTCCAACGTATTCACTGTGGGGTTAATAGTCAACGACTCGCCTCCCAGATTGGCTGTGATCTGCCGACTTTTCAACATGGCTATAGACCATTTGATTGTCGACGGATGTATATTTTTTTACGTTTAGAGCATTCTCGATGGATTCGTAGGAGCTGTTATCAAAAACATCGTCTATGAAAGCATATAGGGCTATCTCTTTGGTTACAATTGTCTCCTCTAAAATGTTTGTGGATGGAGTGAATTAGTCAAGCACTCCATTCCTAAGGTATTGATTAATTACCTTTTCCATCCATTTGAGGAGATGCCTTTAGTGATATTAAAAGGTGAAAATTATAATTTTTTACCTGTACTTGCATGACGTAGCAACATTGACATAGCTAATTCTAGACATTAAAAATTTCTTCTTCATGCTTGATAGGGATTGTGATGATTTTGAAATGAAGGTTATTGACCTTGTATAAACTGGGTTATTAACCTTATAAGCGTTGATTCTGGAGCTCCATCTGAAAATAATGAATTTTAAAATATTTTATCGATTTTTTAGGAAATATATAAAACTACAAAACCAATAGACATGTCTAATTGCGCTGGTCACATCAAACTTACAGGACAAATCGCCAGTAATGTTTGGATGCATTCAAAAGCGACTGTTAAAGATGTCTGTGATGCAATTCTCGAAGATATTATAAGAAGTTTAGCAGCGAGATTAGACATGCATTGGGATTCGCTTATTGAAGAGGAACATGGTTCACCAGAAGGTTATTTTAATTCCTCAAAATTGTTTTGCTTATATATTTATTTAACTTTATTAATTTTAGATACAAACAGCATACATGAACCACCTAGAAGAGTATTTATTCACTTACCTCATACAGAAGTAACTCTTTCTGACTATTTATTTCCTGGGGAAGGTCCTCAAGATGCGCAAATTTCTCTGCAAGAATTACTGGATATAACTGTTGACGAAAAAGATGGTGTTACTGATATTGAAGGACAAGCAGGTAAAATTTAAGGAAATAACGATTTTTTTATGGGTGTTAATTAAAAGTTTTTTACTTGAATTAGATTTGGTGGATGTCTACAGCAACAGCATAGAATCCGATGATACTGAGGGTTCTTTAAAATCAATACAAACAGACGCGAACAAGTTGATGTACAGTTTGGGAATAGGAATAGCGCTTCTGGTATTGTTGATATCACTGGTGGTGCATTACTTCAGATTTATACCTTAAATAAGGAGACTGCTTGGGTTGTGGACGTGGTTTAATTGCATTTATTTTTTTATACAATGCAAAGCGGTACATAATAAAACGATATATTTTTAACCTGAAATTTAAAACTATAAAGTAAGCGTGTATTTTTTTTAAATCCTTTTCATTCTCAACTCCAAACAAAGTTTTTGATTAATAAAAAATTAAAGTGAATAGTGAAAAATAGATTATATAAAATAATTAATTAAATTTGCATTTGGAGAAATCCATTTCTGGGTGTTGCTCCATAAATCTAAAAAAAAATTAATTTACTTACATAATATCCAATTATTTTAACTTACTTCTTAAGAACGTCTTGTTTTTTCTGTTCATCGCTGGTGGGTAATCCTAATTCTCTTTGTTTTTGATCGTACATCATCTTTTCTACAAGCCCTCTAGTTTCGCCATCCAAATCGGATAACTTTGAAGGTTCAGGATTTATTTTTCTCGTGCTAATTTCCGGGTCGGATGCAACCAATTTCGACCACCAATTCATTTTATTTACCTTCACAAATTTAAATTAAACATTAAAATAAAGAAATTTATACAAAAAATGAGAAATAACCTTTTCTAAATTGAGTAAGATTAATTTTCCATCTTCAATAACCCACGTTGACTCCTCCAATTTAATTTCATGCGGAAAATCATCGTCTATAATCGGTGGTTGGCCTTTAACGCCACACGTAAGATGTTTTTTCGTTATATTAACGACTAGATCTTTTTGTTTCGCTCGGAATGTTATATTTAAAGGGATACGAACCTGTAATACAAAAAAAAAGATAATTAATAAAAAAATTAAATAATTTTTTGTTTAATTATCATAACTAATTAACCTTTACTATGTAAAGTGTGGAATCACGATATCTTTAAAGTAATATTATACATGTGACTGAATAAGTAATTATGAAAAACAAATATTCAAACGGAACAAGAAGTAATAACAGTTCAAGGATGTTTTAATTCGTCTCTGGCTAATTGGGTTATGAATGAGATTGTTTGTAAAAGAACAAATTATTATATTAAGCATAAATAAAAAAATAGATTTCTTAATACCCTTTCATAACTAGTACAAATTACTTAATAACCAACGTTCGCTTTATCTTCATTCTAAACGCTATCGTCCGATTCCATCTCACGTAATTACTTTCGCTCGCAATTTACCTACCGGCGTTTGATACGCTCTATTTACCTCACCTTAGAAAGGTCAAACAACGAGCCACCAGAGATTTTAAAATGCAATTATCCTCACGGATGCAACCTTATCCGTCCTACGCGATTAATTTATTTCTTTTTTTGCACAACATTAGAAAACAGAAATTAACAAATAGGATGAAGAAATGGTTTCGTCTTAAGAGAAATAAAAACTTGTTTTCATGTTTATTACTTCTAATAAGAAGATGTGTGTAAATGTTTAAAAAGAATTTTTCCGCATACGCATAGATTATGACATCTGCAACGTTCGAACACCTCAAGGTGTTCGCAGTAAAAACCCGTATAAATAGCCGAGGTACTGCAAAAACCTTGGTAGGATGAGTACACGCCGGAATGCGACACATTAAAAGCGGCCTATTAGGCAATTGCCGTTATAGACGTGAAAATGCGGAATCGTACCAACTCTCGAAGAGAGAATTAATTGCCGGCGAGGCGAATCGACGTCGTTGCGTAAGCGAAAGGATTGTTATTAATAATTCACGGTGTTGTCGACGTATTCATTGTCAAGTTTAAGGGGTCATTGTTAATCGATGTACCGTGATGTTAATAAATAATTTCAATCATGTTCTAAGGATACGTTTGGAATTTTAAAAATAATGATTTCGTAACGAGCCGATTTGGTGGTGACATAGCGAAAGTAAAAAATAAATTTTCATTATGTTTGGTTCATTTGAGTGGTGTACTTCAATTAATTTCTATTAAAACAATTTTAACTTTAACATACAAACAAAAATGGTAAGTTTCGATATCAATTTAATTCTTTAAATTCGACTTTTTATATTAATATATCAAAAAAACTTTATAAATATAGATCAGAAAGTAGATCATTTTCAAGATACTCAAGGTTTTAGTTTCACAAGTTGACCTATTATCATCGTTAATGATTTAAATGTAATAATTAGCATGGATTAAAAAAATTGTCAATTCCTTGACTTAAATTACTTGACTTAATAAAGCTATTAGGTTGGTGGATAATTATACGCCGTTTTTATTATTTACTGTTTTTTTGATAGTGGTAAGAGCAACATAATTGCAGAAAATGTTTCTTGTAAATAACTAATTTTTTAAATGTTGCAATTATTTGAGATTATAAAACAATAAAATGTGATGGCCACGAAAATGTTCCCTTAGAAAAGCCATGAATTGTCCTGAGGTACAACACCCGATAAGTTAAAATGAACCTCATCAGCCATTATCAGAATATAGTCCTTTCTCAATTCAGTTTTTATAGTACAAATCATTATCAGAATACATTAAGGTTGATTTAGAATCATAGAAATGAACCTCGTTATACATCACTAGACCAAGCGACAAGGTGTAACTTATCTTAGACAAAATGCAGAATATCGAAAGACCTAAAATACCATTTGTTTTAAAGCTAAGCGCCAATCACGTTATACGATTTCAAGTCCGATTTGCATCATATGTCTAAGAATCGACTTAGATACACCAAGAAATTCTACAATAGAAAAAATAGATGGCTATACAATTTCGGACCAGTTTCGTTTTCTAGATATTAGAATAAAATTAAAAGTTTATATCTTTTATTTTATATACAGTGTGTCCGAAGATAGATGTTACAAGAGGTATAATGACTGCAAAATTTTTGAATTTTATTTTAAGGCTGAGGAATTAAGCCCTGCTTGGTGTGGAGAGAATTTTAAGTATATATATTTTTATTATTTAGCCGTCTTGTAGTGTTAATTCTAGTATTTGCATTTCTAGTATTACTATCGTTAGAACTAATACAAGACCTAGACTAGAATCATTCGGGTTAAGCCGTCTTGACAGACGTGCGGTTAAATCCGAATGTTTCTAGTTCTCGGTCTAGTGTTAATTTTAGTGGCAGTGGTAGGTAGCGCTAGTTAGCATAAGATATTACTATGTTGTATATTTTTATTGAACTAAAACTAGAACGAGAACTAGAAACATTCGGGTTTAGGCGTGAACAAACATTCAGATGTAAATGTCAACTTTAATTTTATTATTATATTTGTAATCTTCATAAAATAACCTTTAAAGTGAGTCCAAACATGACGCATTTCTCTCAAAAAACCAAAAAGTTCGAACTTTCAACAATTAATTTTAACATATTTGTTAACTTCATAAAAAATCCTTTAAAATGAGTCCAAACTCGACATATTTAACTTTGATATTAATGGAGATACAATCACTTCCGGTTTGAAACGTCAACGTCAATTTCGACATATTTGTCATCTTCATTAAAAAACCTTTAAAATGAGTCCAAAGATGACGCACTTATCTCAATAAATAAAAAAGATAGAATAAAAAACATTAAACCCGAAGTTAACAACAATGAAGACAGCAATTTAATTTTTAAATATTAATACCAACCTTAATTTTTCATTTTTTATATTTTTGTTTTTGTGACAAATATTAAGACATTTTATAAAAATTAAGAATATGTCAAAATGACATATGGTAATAGAGATAAATGATATATCTCGAGTAATATTGGAATTAAACGTATCATGTTTGGACTCATTTTAAAGGATTTTTCACGACGATTACAAATATGTCAAAATTGACGTTGACATTCTTAACCGGAAGTTGACCATAACTTCATTAATATTGAAGATAAATATGTCTTGTTTGTACTCATTTTAAAGGTTTTTTAATGAAGATTACAAATATGTCAAAATTGAGGTTGGCATTTTAAACTTGAAGTTAATTATCATATAATAGAAGTATGTAATAGAAGTATATGTATAAAGTTGTTTTAATTTTTAACGTGTCTTTTGGGTCATTTCACATTGATTAAAAAAATCGTCGAGTTTTAAGCCACATGATGATTCTTTCCAAGTTTCTTAATACTTCTTTTGTTAAAAAAGAGCATTCTTAAATTTTAAACTTGTAACACTTCGTCCTTAATTTCATTTTACAACTTTTTAAACTTTAATTTTGTAAATTAGTAGTCTGATTTCAACTTTGATATGTGATCTTTTGTAACAAAAGAAAAAGAAATATTAAGAAACTTGTTTGTAAAATTTATAGGATGAGGGATGTTAATCTATTTGTAGAGTCTCTGAAGGTGGCCAACTAGTTTCGGCAGTTAGACTTAAATTCTATATAAAATAGAAACCAGTTGAAAAGTACAAAATCAAACTCTAGATAATTTTCTTCAAAAATTTTTATACGAAACATCATTTTGACTATAGTATTTGTGATTAAATTTATGCCACGACTTACAGAAACACCTGTATAATCGTAAAACGACTGACCAATCGGATTCTGTGCTTGTGATAGCTGTCATCAGTGTTCTGTGATAAAAATAGAAACAATTTCCAATAGTTTGAGCCAGTCTATTCTGAGAAGTCATATTTTTAGAGAGATGAAAACTAAAATCATAACGTGGTCCAAATATAGAAGAAATTTGACTTTTAATTAGACCGGTTTCAACATTAATACGTCATCTTCAGGAATTTTGGCATGTTATATATAAATATTTCTTTGATGAATGAGTATCATTAAAAAGCAATTCTAGTTGAAACAATAATCCAACTAGAAAGAAATTTATTTACCCACATTGTATTTTAATCAACTCCATTGTCAACGTTATTTATTTTAAGGTTACATTATGTAGATAAAGTACATTGACATTTTTTTTTATATATTTCTTAAGATTCAATATAGGAAGACGCTCCATAATAACAACTCTGCTAAGGTCATTTTTGATTGTCGTCTACTTAACTATACAAAAGGGTAGCTTTTTGCCGCTAATTGGTCAATTTTCCTACACGTGTACCGTTTCGGCAGTAAAATTCCGCGAAGATTTCATCCTTGAATAATATTATCGGGTGCTTCTCGTCTTATATCATCACGACTTCGCGGAAAACTTCGACTCGCAATCGATGTATCGATTGATCGCATGATGTGTGCGGTTTCTCAAGCGATTTTATTTCAAACGATCGGTTTAGAAACAAGAGTCAGATGAGACCCAACGAAGAAACATGATTAATCCGGCAAGGTTGAGCTCCGTTGGCAATCGCAGGGCGCAACGGGAAATGTCGACGTATGTCGCAATCGTGCGATTTAAATTTCGAAAGCGATTTTACGCAAACTGGGGCCGATCACTCATAATTAGAAAATGCCGAGTTGAAGGATTTCGTTACATTATTTGGTCTTTGTTTTATTTTAACTAGAACACTTCACCTGTTTTTAAAACTTCCTTAATTTTATTGACAAAAAAAAATTTTTTTTTTCGTTATGCTAATAGAAAGTGATGAATGAGATGATTTAATCTTTACATAGCAATGCCACTTTATTTGACAACTCTTACTTAATCGTCTTTTAATTGTGTGCTAATCAGATTTCAAATCCCCCTTTATGTTACGAAAGTTAATGTCATTACATACGATTTTCTTTTCTTATCGGTGTCGTCTAAGAGGTGGTTACACGAAGCCACCTGGTGTAACAAAGGCATGTTTTTCCACCAATTTATTCGCTAATTATCGCGTTTAAGCGTTAATTAGTCACTATCTGCGTTAAGACCTCTTTTTGGGGGATTCTTGAGAAATTATTTTTTTG